TATATATATATATATATATATATATATATATATATATATATATATATATATATATATATACTTTGTGAATTAAAATGATGTCATGAGTCATATTGAAAAATTAAGAATAATGATGATAATTTCTGAATGGAACAAGGATCGTGTAGAGTCGATGTGTAAAGTCTTGACATTTTGTCTGTTGGAAAAAATAATCTAATTTTATGCAATATTGAAGGTAAATTATCGTTAACAGTATGAGCAGATAAAAAGTGTAAAGAAACAGAGAGAAAATAATGTCAAGTATTGCAAGCTTAAAAACTTGAGTCTTTTGTATATATAAAAAAAAGAAACAAATAATTATAGTTGGATTACAATATGTGGTTGAATACCACTCAAATTTAATCCTAGAAAACTATAATAATTATTATTAAAACTGATTTACCAACAACAAGGTCAAAAGAATCTTTAAATAATTATACCCAACAATTGTTTATTAATAAAAGCTATCATCTCCATAAAAAAAATTACTTTTTTACGATACCCTAATACCCTTCCTTTTTCTATCAATACTTTCATTTTCTATCTTTCCAAAGCTTTTAACTAACAAGCTATTCAACAATTCCTTTTATTATTATTAACATTATTACCCACTTGAATATCACATTGTTTTTATCACTAACTTTGTGAAAAAAAAAATTTAAGACTTCAAGTCAACTTTTGTTTTTTCGATTTATCCGCATTGTTTTTTTATCCATTCACTAAAAATAAAATGAATAGACAATTATACCCACACTTAATTCAACCCTCATTTAATGTACTCTAAATAATATAAGAGCTAATTATAAAACTCAACACGTCACCTACATATGTCAAGAACACAGTTTTTGGCGAATTGTTTGGGGAACAAACATACTTTCAGATACAAAGCCATTACTATAGTTATTGCAATTTGTCTTCTTTTTCGGGGTATCAGTAGCTGAAGGACATTTGTTAATTAATCGTGAGATCATTACTGATTATGATAATCGGAAGAGGTCGGGGAAACTGAAGTTGCCCAGATTCAGTACAAAGCACTTCTTTGCTGTTATTCTAGTACTATCATGGCATTTGACACTGTTCTATATAAAATGAGGCAAAATAATCAAAATTTTCATATAATGAAAAAGAGGGTTATGTTTATTTTGTGTTGAAATTTATGATAAAAAAAAAAAGGCAGTTAAGCATTACAGAGTAAACAAAAACTTAAAGCCCATAACAAAGGACATAAGGATTATAAGAAAATAACAAAATTAATCATGTAAATTCGGAATTCAAACAAATACATAAATTAAAAATGGAAATGACACCATAAATCTTGATGAGTGCTTCGAGCTCCAACAAAATTTGGTTGTCACAAGAAAATCTCTCTAGAAATAACACAAAGTTTCTTGATTTCTTACCAAGTTTACCAGGTCCCCTTCATCTTCAAGTGACCTACGAATTATAATATGATAACATATTGCTTCGTCTTTTATGATGATGAATCAATAAAGAGGTGTATGAATTATCAGAAAATCGTTGAAAGGAAAGATGGGTTTGCGAGTTCTTGTAATAAAGATTGAAAGAGATATGTAACAATCTAACCTCGTCTGATAAAACATTGTGATTGGAGGGAAGCACCAACAGAAGAATATAGGAAGAAGAAGAAGAAGAAGAGTGTGTGCTATCGGAGGGAAGAAGCAGGTCAGAAGGAGGAAGAAGAATGTGTATGTCGTTTGAAGTGAATCTAGAACTTTTTCTTTTCTTTAATATCAATAATTTAAAAAAGAAAAAGGGAATAATTATTAATGTATATATTTTGTAGTGGATGGATAAATATCATCCATGGAAATATCAATTCTCTTTTTCATACGGTAAAATACCCTAGAAAGACTACAACATATATTTCCTGAAATCCTATTCAAGATAACAAAATATAAGGATCAAGCATTTAAAATTATCCAATATTAGAAGCGTGATGTTCTTGATGATTTCACAAGTACATGAAAAAGAAAGACGATTTCTTAGCATTAATATACAACTTCAAAAATGGAAGGTTGTCGGCTACAATATCCCATTAAAACAATTTAAACCATGAAATATCTTCTACAATATAATTGTTATATTGATGTTAATTGTTATGTCGATTTTCAACTTTCAGCTAGAATGATGATATATTGTAAAATTAAGAAAAATGTGTCTAAAACTAGAGGGAGTGGGTGCAGTAGCACCCATTACTACACCCATAGTTTGGCCAACTCATCATGCAGCACAGTTCCTTGTGTGCGGCTTAAAGTGTACTCCCTCTTGCATGGGGTTTAGAGTGGGGGTAAAGTGGGCAGCTGCACAGGGTCCAATTTTTTTATTATATATTTTTATTTAAAAATACAAAATTATAATAAAGATAAGGGCCCTTTTTTTTCTTGTTCGTCCTGAGCCTTTAAGAATATTTCAGTTTTCAGGTCCGGCCCTGCCCTCTTGCCACGACTGTTTACTCTCTCTCTCTCTCTCTCTCTCTCTATATATATATATATATATATATATATATATATATATATATATATATATATATATGTGTGTGTGTGTGTACATGTGTACGTGTGTGTGTGTTATTTCTCATCTTAGGCTGGGTTAAAGCTTGTATTGGGCTACAAAACCCACAAATGAAACAAATCGACGTGAGTATTTATTGTTGTATTTTTGTTTAATTTGTATTATTTCTAGAGAATGAATAAAAGATGTATTTAATTTTTTGGGTTTATATTTGTTCAAGTGATGAAAAAATCGGTTGTAAGATTTTTTTTTTTTTTACTAATATTGTGTGTGTGTGTGTGTATATATATATATATATAGAAAGAGAGAGAGAGAGAGAGAGAGAGAGAGAGAGAGAGTTAAGATCAAATAAGAAGAAATTTTTTGGTAGGTTGTAAGAAAGTTTTTATATACATATTTTCTTAGGAAAAAAATGAAATGAATCATTAGATGATTCAAAAGTAAGATGATTCACAAGAAAAAAAATCTGGAAAAAACACTTTTATGATTCAGTTTTAGGTAAATCTAGAAAAAATAAAATCATTTTTATAACAATTTTAGTGAATATCAACAAAATCATCGTAAAAATGAATCATCGAAATGTTTTTTCGGGATTTTTTTTGTGAATAATATTATTATTGATTCATCTAATGATTCATTTATTTTGTTCACCAAAAAAATAAGTCGAAAATAAAAAATTCTTATCTTCCTACCAAAAAAAATTTATTACCGGATATATATATATATATATATATATATATATATATATATATATATATATATATATATATATATATATAGTTAAATGAAATTTTAAGTTTTTATTTAAATTAAGTTAAATTTTCTAAAATAAAGTACGACACCACACCTAGTAATGTAGTGTAATGGTTTTTTTTTTTTTTTTTTTTTTAAGTAATGAAATCTTTTGTTTTCAATTAAAACTAAAAATTTTAATTATTTAAAAAATCATCTCATCTACCATAATAAATAAAGATAGTTTTGCTAAATGTCAACTTCTTAAAGAATTGGACACATGTCATTTTCTTGTTATTTTTGTATTTTTCTCATTTTTTACTCAACTTCCACCTATTAAATGTCATCTCATACTAATTAATGTAAATTAATGTATATAGTAAACTTTACATTTTGAGAATTCTTATTTCTATTAATATATTAATGAATTCCATTTGTGAATTTGTATTAATTAATTTTATTAGTATATATTAATTAAGACAAAATTACATAAATGGTCCTTGTGGTTTACTCTATTTATTGTATTTATTTTAAAAGTTTACTTTAAAAAATCTTAAATTTTACACCCTCATATTCAATAGCACGATTATTTAAAACATGATAATAATTTTTTATTAGTATAGATTGAATTACTTACTTATTCATCATTTCGTTTATATTTATTTCAAAATTTTACTTTAGAAAATACGTATTGTCTACACCTTATATTTAACTTTTTTAATCAATTCGTATAATACACAGGTCTCACACCTAGTTTATAATAAATAATGGTTTTTTTTGCCACTTGTCACAATCTCATTCAATTTGTCAAATATCATTTTGTGGTTATTTTGAATTAATTTTCTTTTCACATGTCATTTTATGAATTTTTTATATTGTATTAAATTCCACATAATATTTTAATATAATTCTTACAATAAATGTAGTAATAAATAGATATTAATTTCAATAATAAATTTTACCTTTTAATTTTAAAATTCTCAAAATTTAAACTCAATAGTTTATTTTGTTTATTTATTTAAATTTAAAAGATAAAAAATCAATTTTAATAATTCATTATTTTTTTTATTTTCTTATAAATCCAAAGTTCTTAAATATTTAGACATTTATATTTAATTTTTTTAATTAACTCATGTAATATATAAGCCTTACACCTAGTAAATAAATAAATGAATGTGACACCACTCATTGGGTGTGGTATGAAACCACATTTTCGTGGTAAATAATGATGTGTCACCTAGTGTGTTAAAATGAGATAGTGTGACATCCAACCTAAATTCCAAAGATGTCTTATTCTTAACTTTGGATTATGGTGAGTGGGGGCGTATTAGATGGGCACAAAATGGGAAACACATGAAGCTTTAAGAAAAAGGTGTCTAAATTATGTCTTATTCTTAACTTTGGACTATGGTGAGTGGGGACGTATTAAATGGGCACAAAATGAGAAACACAAATTGATGCAAGTTGGGAGTTTTAGTGTGAAAGCTTACTATTTTAGTCACAGAAGACATCACATCTTGTAGCCAAACTGTTACAAGGACTTCCACTTGAGAACACTTAGACCTAGAAGACACATATATAATGGAGTCTCGAGAACACCGATGATATAAGTTTCTAACCTTTTCAGTTGGACATTTAAAATGAATCCCGTTATCTTTTTTGCCTCCCTTCTCTCTTGTTTACTTTACGTACACTCTACTACAGACCACAACATTTCCATGTCTATCTGCCGAGAGAGTTTCAGTTGCCCAAATCCGAATTTTGCCTCATTCAAGTACCCGTTTTATAATAATGCCACTGATGACAAGCAATGTGGGTTGATCCAGGTGAACTGTACTTTGAATGGTGGGATAATTCAACTTGGAAGAGACTCATATGAGATTGTTGGCAAGTTTGTGTCTGAATCAGTCGTATCGATCCGTAATCTAACGTTTGAAAGACTTGTGAATGATAGCAGTTGTGGGGCACTTATGGATAATTTCACTTCTCCAATTCCTCTTTTGTATTCCATCTCAATCGTATCCTTCATCACTCTCTACAAATGCACAAACAATACCAATTATCCTACTCAAAACGATGCTTACTTTGGCAGATCTAATTACCATAGATACAACACATGCAAAAACCACAAATTCTACTATAAGTATAGTGTAAGTGATACAACAGTTCCAAGCGATCTCCCACCTACATGTCAAGTAATACGCCTACCCGTCAAATTAGTGCGAGGGCCAGAAGACAATAAAGGAATTAACGAAACCGACATATTTTCTTTTCTCTCCCCTCGCTTCTCTATTTATTTTCATTTGTCACCTTCCTGCCATAAGTGTCACCAGGAAGGCGGCCAGTGTAACACTCTCCGTGAACATGTTGAGTGTCTAGACGCCAAAAAGGGTACACCAAATATAAATCGTCTATAAGCATATTCGTAAAATTAATATTTTTCTTGTCTTATCTTTTGTTGTTTACTTGCAGAAGAAAAAACAGGCAGAAAACTGACACGAATCCTAAGTAATATATCTCCTTGATTGAATGCAACATCAATAGATATATAAATGCACAATCAAATATACATGTAGGAATTTGTACCTGATGCTATTTCCTTATCTTGCTCTAGTTCTTGCTGGATCTGCCTTCATCCTCATGCTGTTTCTTGTCATCTTCATAATCTGGTGTCTTTACAAGGGCAACCCTATTTCATATTGCACGTCAAAGAACATATCTCCAATCATTGAAGATCAGGTTTTCTTCTTTGGCGTCTCCGTTTTCTCCTACAAGGATCTTGAGGATGCCACCAGAAATTTTGACCCTGCTCTAGAACTAGGGAATGGAGGTTTTGGAGTTGTTTACTATGGTGAGAACTTTACACCTGCTAATAAATTAATCCCTACTATTTTACATGCTATTTCTTGAGGTTATTCAAATTTGATCTTTCTGAAAAAGGTAAACTCCAAGATGGGCGAGAAGTTGCAGTGAAGAGACTTTATGAGCATAACTATAAGCGACTTCAGCAATTCATGAATGAGGTTCAAATCCTCACCAGATTACGCCACCCTAACCTTGTTGTGCTATATGGTTGCACCTCTCGTCAAAGCCATGAACTTCTTCTTGTGTATGAGTACATTTCCAATGGCACACTTGCTGACCACATCCATGGAGAACTAGCAAATTCAAGCTTACTAACATGGCCATTACGGATGAATATCGCCATTCAAACTGCCAGATCTCTAGTGTACCTCCATGCCTCTGAAATCATTCACCGAGATGTCAAGACTAGTAACATTCTCCTTGATCACAATTTCAGTGCCAAGGTAGCAGATTTTGGGCTCTCGAGGCTGTTACCAAATAATGTCAATCATGTGTCTACAGCTCCTCAGGGGACCCCAGGTTACTTGGATCCTCAATATCATCATCGTTACCAATTAACAGATAAGAGTGATGTTTACAGCTTTGGAGTGGTCTTGATCGAACTGATATCATCCATGGTGGCTGTTGATTTAAGTAGGACTCAAGACGATATCAGTTTGGTTAATCTGGCTTTAAACAGGATCCAAAGATGTGCGTTAGATCAATTGATCGACCCGGTTTTAGGATCCGATTCAGATCCTGAAGTCATGAGGATGGTTACATTAGTAGCAGAGTTGGCTTTTCGGTGTCTACAGTTTTATTCGGAAATGAGGCCTACAATGAGTGAGGTGTTGGATGTGTTGGTGGATATTCAATCGCAGGGGAGAATAGATGTTGATTACAGCATCAGAGAGTTGGAAGAAGTAAAAATGCCACCTCTGTCTGAAAACAATGATAAGACGGTTGTGTTGAAAGATTTTCTACCTTCGCCAGTCTCCCTCACCGGTGAATGGCATAGTAATAGCACCGTATCAACTACACTAAACGTCAGATAGAATGCAATTCCAATCTCGAAAGACAGAAACACAATGTATTGTTGGTGGGTGAACCACCCCGTCCCTAAAACCCTAGATAACCCTTGAGATGTAAAACCCACAAAAATTACAAAATTGAGCCATTAAGATGTTTTTATTGTTGGAAATAGTATACAGCGGTAATACTAATATTAATATATACTTAATTAATAGTAGGGTTTTTTTATTAATTTCTTTTTAGTTACACACAAGGACATATGTAATAAACAATTTACATGAATGTTTTACAAGGACATATGCAATAAACAATTTACATGAATGTTTTACAAGGTTTAGTTTGTTAATTCATTAAGTGTTTAATTTAAATTAATAAAAACTCATAGATTTAACTATATAAGTGTAAAATTTTGAAAATCATATTTTATTTGGATAATTACCAAACATATGGATAATTACTTAAAAATGACAAAGTAGTTATCGCATAAGAACCCTAATCACTCCCCTCTAACTAGAGAGTAATAGGACCGGTTTTTATGATGAGGTTTTCACTAATCAACTTTATGACATTTACAATATATTGAATTTTATAGAGTTCAATGGATTCTCACATTATTTTTTACATTTTATATAATTCTATCAATTTTTTCTCTACAATGCATTGAACTTTTCAACGTTCAATGGCAAAATTACAAAAGCTAACTGAGGATTTGAACACACACACGAATCTTATGTAACATGTAGTGATACATAAATGTATCCAATTAGTTATTTAATCACTAATCTAGTAAGTAAACACTCTCTAATGCATGAAAACACTTTGCTTCAAGGGCTAGGAGTGCTACGGGTTGCATCTAAGGAGAGTATGGCCTCACATTGGAGTTTCCTCCTCAAATGGTAACCCTTAGGGGTGTTTATGGTTTTTGAACCATTTACCCCATGAGTTTACGGCCGTAAACTCATGGGAATGGTGTGTTTGTGTGCTTCACGGTCTTATGCTTCACAAAGGAAGGTCCTAGGGTTGAACCAAGGGCTTAAGAAGTGGTTAGGGCTCGAAATGGCACACTTTTTGGAGTTTACGATCCTTGAACCATGTTTGGGAGTTTACTACCGTAAACCCATGAGTTTACTGTAACAGCCGAATTTCCAGGTATCTTGTATGTTTATGGTTTTTTTGGTGATTCTGAGAGGGGACTCGGCGAGTTGGAGCTCAGACTCGCCGAGTAGGATCGCGGGACTGGTCGCGGGATCGCGCCTGGACTCGGCGAGTCCAGGATATGGACTCGACGAGTCCGCGCTGTGTTATGAAACCCTAATTTCTCGGGTTTGGGACCTATTTAAAGGGCCTTATGGCCGTCATTTGTGCTCACCAGTCCCTTGAGTGAAACCCTAATCGAGTGTGAGCGTTTGGAGCCAAGTAGGAGGCCATTATTGATCTTGGAGGTGTCATTTTGCAAGGAAAAGGGAGAACTAGCTAAGGAAAAGCAAGTGGAGCCACTTCTGAGAGTTTGGAGTCCAGAGCATCACTATTGTGGTAATAATTTCGAGCTATCTTCTTCCTTGTTGATGTCTATATTGATTTAGGGTTTGTTGAACCCTCTTGTGGCAAGATCTAGTGCCCCCTTGGTCCCTTATGTGGTTTAAACCATAGATCTGGACCCTTGGAGGTCCAGAGTGTCCCTTTGCCCAAGCTTTTTGGGAATCAATGGAGGTTTTGGATTGGAATCCTTATGCCTTAAGTCAAAATTCTATTTATGAGCCATGGGGTGTGTTATGCACACCAAGCTAGAAGCTTTACGTGATGAATCAGTCTAGGGAGGCCAGATCTATAGATTGTGGAAGCAGATCTGACCTTAGAAGCAAGTTGGAGTGGTTGCATGGCATGGACTCGCCGAGTCCGATGAACAGACTCGGCGAGTAGTTTAAATATTGCCTTGGGTTCGCTCAGTGAGTGGTCATGTCGAGTCATAGGTTGACTCAGTGAGTCAGGGTGAGTTAGAGAGTGACGACAGGTGGACTGAGTCGAACTGGGACTCGCCGAGTTGTTCTTGAGACTCGGCGAGTTGAGTCGGGGTGGCCCCGCGATTCTTCCAGATGGAACTCGTCGAGTCAGGGGGGAGTACTCGACGTGTATGAAGGGAATTCTAGAGAGTTGGTGAAAACGTCTAGACTCGCCGAGTAGCCATAGCGCACTCGCCGAGTTCGGTCAAAGTTGACCATTGACCGTTGACCGTTGACCTGAGTTGACCTGTGTTGACTCCTTAGGGATAGTCAACCTTAGAAATATAAAGTGTTAATCAGAGACATATGATGTTATAGGAGGATTAGAGCTCGGAGGATCGAGCACGAGGGATTACCAGGATTCGTGAGATACCGAGATACGCGAGGTGAGTCTTCTCACTATACTTTACCTTGAGTAGGTAACCAGGGTTATGTGATAGAGTATTTGTATGCTATGTATGTGATGTGTTGTACTCCATTATTTCTATGTGATTTATGTTGTGCATGTTTACAGAATTAGAACCTGAGGGTTCACAGAGTTTGGGTGCACGGACCCACAAAGTTATAGCCTCGAGTGGCTAATATGTGTTATATGTGGTATTTTGTGGAACTCACTAAGCTTTGTGCTTACAGTGTTTGATGTTATTGTTTTAGGTACTAGTGACGACCGCGGGAAGGCGCCGGCTTGATCCGTACACACACACGGAGTTTATACATTTGTAATCTTGGGATTTTGTAATGACATGAGTTGGATAATTAATATGGTTGTTTTATGAATATTAATTGAATTATGTTTTACGAAAATTTGAAAATTTTGTTTTGAATTTACGGTGTTACAATTTGGTATCAGAGTCTTGGTTTGAGGGATTCGGGTACACCTTCGGGAGTATTTGAACTCAAACTGAGGATTTGAAAAATATTTTCAAAAGAAAACTTAACTTTTCTAAGAGTAAAAGATTTTCTTGAAAAGAAACAAATTCAAGGAAGAAACGTGTGTATGATCAATCAGCGCCCGAACGGTGATTTCCCAAAATACCTTTATATTATGTAATATTGATATTAATATGATGTATCTGCATGCTAGAGTAGGCTAGGTATTACTATTAGGACTAGAGTGGCCTGATTTGTGATGCCTTAGTCTAGGGAGAGGTAAGCTGCTATGAGATGCTTGAGAGTGAGTAGGTAGCAGCGAGGGGCTTATGAGAGATCTATTAGAGAGTGGTCTACGCATGATAGAGTACTTGGGATTTGGGATCCGAAGAGGAGGATTTGGGGTGTGTACTGAGACGGTGTGGACAGTAGTGTTGGGCCCGTACTACTGAAAGCACCGGGGCGGTGCACGGTCCAAATAAGAATCTTTAAAGTACCAAGAATCAAGTGTCGAGTGTGATTATGCTCGAACGGATTCTAATTTATCGTATGTTGTATTTCAGAGGTTGATCATGGTGAGGACACGTCATATACCGGAGGGCGTCGGGGCTAGTGATGAGGAGATTCGGCAGATCATCCATGAGGAGGTGGCTGCGGTCATCAGAGTAGAGATACTAGAGATGTTCGGGTCTATTAAGACTGCACTAATTGAGACATTTGATGAGCATTATGCCGCTCTTTCTGAGGCTGTTGTTGCAGCGGCTACCGCAGCGATCGCTGCAGTGAGACCCCAGGGAGGTGATGCGTCGCTGTTTCGGGAGTTCAGCAACACCAAACCACCAGAGTTTGATGGGACACAGGATCCGGTGGTAGCTATGAGGTGGATATCTTATATGGAGGGGTTCTTCTTCACTTGCTCATCTCCTAAGCATCTGAAGGTTCGGTTCGTGCTGAACCAGCTTCGCTTGGGAGCGAAGGACTGGTGGAAGTTTGTGACGGTGCATTTTACGCTTGCTGAGCTTTCGGCAGTGACCTGGGAGAGGTTCACTACCATGTTCTGGGATGAGTACGTTCCCCAGGTGGAGAGGGAGCGTTTGGCACAGGAGTTTCTGACCCTCAAGCAGGGTACTGAGTCAGTTACAGCGATCACGAGGATGTTCCATGAGAGGGCGATGTTCTGCCCTGAGCATGTGTCCACTGAGCAGGTACGTATGAGCCGCTACTTGAGCATTTTGAGACTGGACATTCAAGGAGTTCGCCGCGAACTCCTCGTACCGGACATTTGCTGAGCTTCAGGCAAATGCCCGGAAGAGGGAGATTGAGCTTGAGACTCAGGCCAGGGAGGAGGCGGAGTCTCAGGGGAGGGATCGGCGACCGGCACAGTCTTAGCCGGCAACCAAGCGGGCCAAGCCCGCTGATCCCAAACCAGGGAGCCAGAAGGGCCGCACTTGCGGGAAGTGCGACAAGGGTCATGATGGAGTCTGTCGAGTGGGATCTTGCTACAAATGTGGCAAGGAGGGGCATATGTCCAAGGACTGCCCCAAGGGGTTTGCAGTGTGTTTTCACTGCAACCAGACCGGAAACCGGAAGGCGGAGTGTCCGCAGTTGCGCGGAGCATCTCAGGGATCTGCTCCTGCCGCCATCAGAGCTACAGAGAGTCGGCCTATGAAGGCCGAGGCACCGAGAGCTCGAGGGAGAGCCTTTCAGCTGACTGCGGAGGAGGTCCGCACCGCACCCGATGTTGTGGCTGGTACGTTTCCTTTCATGTATTTATTTTGATGTTGAGATATTATGCTTATATTATGTTATGCGTAGGTACCTTCCTTGTGAACTCTGTGCCTGCTTTAGTGTTATTTGACTTGGGTGCGAGTCGGTCTTTTGTATCTTTGGCCTTTAGTCAGCATATCAGTGTTAGTCGTGAAGCATTGAGTCGGCCTCTGAGGGTTTCCATAGCTTCCGATAGAGTGATTTGTGCCACGGAGGTTTGCCGGGGATGTGTGTTAGAGATTTTTGGGGTTGAGTTTCCGATTGATCTGATTCCTATTGCGATGGGTGATGTCTGTGTCATTGTGGGCATGGACTGGTTGAGCCGATTCGGCGCGGTTATCGACTGTGAGCGTCAGCTGGTGACTATACGAGACCCTAGTGGGGGA